TCAGCAGGGCTTGTTAAGAGGAGTCACTGTAGAGCTGTTCAGCGTTACATGTATGTAAATGTGTCGCGGGGGTGGGAGGAGGCAATGCCAAAATAGTCAAAAGGTGGTGCTAAAGAATGTTAACCACTGGTTTAGTATAAGACACCTTCATTCAACTTCACAATGAAATCAAACAACTTTATATACAAATAAGAGAACGGATTAGATTAGATTATGTTAGACTAGAGTAGATTAGATTAGATTAGTCTAGATTATATTAGATTAGACTAGACTACATTAGATTAGACTAGAGTAGATTAGATTATACTAGATTAGATTAGACTAAAGTAGATTGGATTAGACTAGAGTAGATTAGATTAGAGTAGATCAGACTAGATTAGATTAAACTAGATTAGACTAGAGTAGATCAGATTAGATCAGAGTAGATTAGATTAAATTAGATTAGATTAGACTAGACCACATTAGACTTCAGTAGATTAGACTCGAATAGATTAGATAACACTAGACTAGACTACATTAGATTAGACTCGAGTAGATTAGACCAGAATAGACTACATTAGACTAGAATAGACTAGATTAGACTAGATTAGATTAGACTAGACTAGACTAGACTAGACTAGACTAGACTGGACTAAATTAGATTAGACTAGATTAGATTGGATTACAGTGGATTAGGTTCACCTTGACTGTCACTAAAATGAAAGTGAAATACAATAACCTGTGTAACAGTGAGGATCATACCGTCATGGCAGAATAAAATGACCGTGAGTTCAGTTACACTACAAAGTACAAATAGTACTACAGTGATAACACGGTAGTAGTCAGTGGAACTGACGGCTTTACATGACAGTGACAAATATGGCTAATATTATTATTACTATTATAATAAAAACACCAAATTATCTGTGTGTGTGTGTTTAGGTTTTGCCCTGGGTTGGGGTCCAATCCCGTGGCTCATCATGTCGGAGGTTTTTCCCGTCAAAGCCCGAGGGTTTGCCAGTGCCGTCTGCGTCCTGACCAACTGGAGCATGGCTTTCCTGGTGACCAAGACCTTCCAGGACATGATGGTGGGTCTCAACAGTTGGGGATGAAATGTTCCTGTACAGTAGCTTCACAGTGTTCCTCACATGATCTCTTTTTAGCTCATAGTTGGAATTCCATTTCTTAAAACGGTCGAACAAGTGGGGCTTTGTTTCCTTTTAACTGTTGTCACACACACACACACAACTAATTATACCACCACATTAACCAAATATGGATCGGTCTCAATGTCTTTGCAGCTCCTTCTCACCAGCGCTGGAACTTTCTGGTTGTTTGCGTCGATGTGCGTCCTCAACGTCATCTTCACCCTGGCTGTCATCCCCGAGACGAAGGGCAAGACGCTGGAGCAAATCGAAGCCGTATTCAGAGGAGAGTCAGGTCCATGAAGTCCACCCGTCAACCTGTCTGTACCTGGACAATAATTAGGATTGCGATTAAAATGGTCCGCTTTAGCAGATGGGGAGAAAATGCAAAAAAAAAAAAAAAAAAAAATTCCAGAAAGTTCGTTGAAAACTGCACTAAAGGTTTGGTTTCAGATACAGAACCAGAAACCAAAAAAACGACAGTGACTTTAAAACAATGTGCTGCTAACTCTAGTGACACAAAGTGACGACACTGCCCTCTGCAGGCGTTAACAAACGTTGCGTTGCTGAAGGATTTAATACTAGTTTTTCATATTTCACTTCTTGTACACCCACATTTTTTTGTTTATTTTTTAAAGGAAGAAATCACAGTGTTGTAGCAAATTTATTTTAATTTTATTTTTGGGCACAAAAAAAAGGTTTTACTGTGTTTGTGTTCTTTTGGGTCACTTTTCACAGTTGGGATTTTTTAATCCAAATCAAATTTTAATCAAACTTTTTTTGATAATATAATTATAATGATTTTACTGAGATTTAAAAAAAAATCTGTCTGTGTTTTGGTGAACCGTTCAGAAGACATTTATATTATTGGTAATTGTTTAATCGTAGACTCTTTGGGAAGTGAATGAATCGGTGAATGTAATGTTTACTTTTTTTCTTCTTCATGAAACCATCTCAGGTCTTGGCAGGTCAACACTACACATATCACTTGAACTTGTCTACTGTGAAATCGGAATTTCTGTTCATGTTACCGACGTTTTTCTGGACCCTTGTAGTGACGAAAAAGTGTCTGTATATGTAAATATAAATTTCTTGTCGTCTAATTTTTCTGGTGAAGCCAAATTGTCATCAATAAAATCTTATAAATATTCCAAATGTTCTGAGGAAATTTGGAATTATTTATACACTAAAATTATATAATATTATTTTCTTCATTTTAATTAATTTTTCAAATTACATTAAATTTAATTAAGTGACCTTACGATTCAACATTGTCCGTAAACAAAATGGAGTAAAAACTGTATTTGAATTACAACAATAAAAATGTTTAAAAAAAACTCTTCTTCTTTCTGTGTTTGATATATTTCAGTTATTTACCTTTAAAAAAATTCAAAAAAATATATCCAAAAAGTGTTGCTCATGTTCCGAAATGAACTTTAACGCATTTTAATAAATCTACATAACTATTATGACAGTTGGCGGGCACGTGTTTCCGGTCGGCGTTCAAAAATAACGGAAACGCTTGCGAGTTGCCCGCGGTGTCACTGCTGTCATCGTCCGGGTCTCCTCGGCCGGTGCTGGCGCCCCCCCTGGCGGTGCCCTAGCCTCGGAGCTTCAGGGATGCTGTTGCTGCCGCCCCGGAGATGGAGTTGAAGCACAAAAACGGCCAAGTGTTGGACGGAGTTTGAGACAAAGGACATCACGGCGCTGCTCTTTGGATGAAGTATTGGCGGCAATAAAAAAAGAGGCGGGAGGTTTTTTTAGAAAGTCGTGCTGAAAATGAAGCTGCTGAAGCCGAGCTGGGTGAGCCACAACGGTAAGCTTGTGCAGGAATCTGTTGGACCAAGTTCGGCTTTTGTTGTCGAGGGGGGTGGCGGAGGGCAAGGAGGTACGGTGGTCGACACTTGTTCGACTCGTCTGTCACTAAACACTCGCCTGCAAACGCGGTTCGACTCAACAAGTGAAGAACACTCTCTCGGTCGCACCAACACTGCGCTGCCGATTTTGGGCTTTAACGCACTTTCCTCCATGTTAATGTGCGCTAGCCGCGGCTAGCCTGTTAGCCACTTAGCTCCTTCACCTCTTGGCTGGGCTGCGGATGCCCAGACGTTAGCCGAGTTACCTGCCAAAAAAAAAATAAAAAAGAAAGACCCGACTCCCAAGTTTCGCTGTCGTGTGACTTAGTGTCCGATATACTACACCATTCCAACAAGAATGTCTTTTAACCAGTGACAGTTTGTGTTTAAAATAAACATAAACATTTTAAAAACAGAGCCAGTATTTTTAAGTGTTAAATTTGAAACTTGTCAGACCGAGAAATGGCCTGAACTGAGCTTCAGAGCAATATATTATATTGGTTTGCGAGTTGTTTCCGCAACATTCAGTAAAAATGAAGATGGAAGATGAAGTATACGGGCTGATACTAGTTGTTGCTAAATATCGCTGAACTTACGTGTGTAACACTCGCTAATTGTGTAATTGTTTTCACAGGCAAACCCATATTTTCGGTTGACATTCATCCGGATGGGACGAAATTTGCCACCGGGGGACAAGGTAAGATGATAACGAACCCTAATCTAGCTTCGTCCGTGTTGTTCAGTAGCGAAAAGCAGGGGTTCAAGAACCGGTGGAAAAAAAAATGTACTTCAGTTTCACTAATTTACTTTATTCCAAAAGTATCCAGTCATATTACTTTACTGTTTTCATTCAAAAATAATATGTCAACGTTTCAAAACAACACGTCTTTCTGACTGTGATACTAACAGAAGAAAGTCTAAAAGACGTTTTATTTTGAAAAATTAATGATTCTTTAATTATGGCGCGGTATTACCGGTCCGTAGTAACGGCTAATACCGGTATATAAAAGGTTAGCTACGGCTAGTGAAGAGGACATTAGTGCTAATAACTTTAGCCAGCCATGGTATAAATACGTAATAAATAGTATATTATTGATTGGATATTTTTTAAATTATCAACTCTTTGAATTGACATATTGTTTTTGGACTAATTTGCTGTTATTTGTGGAGATGGCATGAAAACAAATAAAAATGTAGGGTTAGCGTTACTAAATAAGTAAAAAAAAAAATCAAAAACATGCTAGGACATTGCCTTTGAACCCTTCTGTGTTATTTCTTATGGAGAGGAATAATAATAATAATATATATATTTGTTTTCAAGGGGAGGATTCTGGGAAGGTGATGATTTGGAACATGGCGCCGGTACTCCGGGAGGAGGACGAGAAGAATGAGAATATTCCCAAGATGCTTTGCCAGATGGACAATCACCTAGGTAGCATTCCCTGGAGGCGGTCGGGAGTCTGGAATTTTATAATATATTTTGTTCACAGCGAAACAAATAACTGTGGTTTTGTTTTTTTTTTTTTTGTTTTGTTTTTTTTTTTTTTGCAGATGGTTCGAGATGGTCCAACAATGGGTTGTACCTGGCATCGGGAGGAGATGACAAGCTGGTCATGGTGTGGAGGAGAGCTGCGTACGTACACAGTACAGTTTCCTACACACGTTGTTCACATAGTTCTCGTGCTAAGTTCGATTTTTTTTCTCCTCCCTCTCTGTAGATTCATTGGCCCGAGCACAGTGTTTGGATCCAGCAGTAAACTGGCGAACGTGGAGCAGTGGCGTTGCGTCACCATCCTTAGGAATCACACTGGAGGTAAAGCACGCAGCCCACATATGCGGTCCATACTGTTTTGGCTAAAAGAATAAAAAAAAACAAAAAAAGAACAATGTTGTTCATTTTAACGAGTTTATTGAAAGTTGTTATCGAAGCTCCGGGGCGCAGGTCTTAAAGGGAGCGACCCGAACGCGAGCACCTGTTTCAAGCTAGTGCAAGTTACATTTATAGTGTGTTAGATACATTTTTGTAGCAAGTTGACCTCAGTACCATTGCCAACAGGAACTCAAAAACAGGGAGTATGTGCACGCGATTGTCAAGGTCGTCGAGGAAACGGAGAAAAGATAATAAGTAGCATTTCCTAGCATGGGCTAACTCACCTAAGGTCAGGCTAGTTGAGTGTTTTTTTTTGTTTGTTTTTTTTTTTTTTCACTGACTATGTATAATTTTGTCATCACCAAACATACTGTAAACACTGTGACAACATGTTACATGTGTAACTCACAGGTTGTCGTTAAATGTGCACGTGTGTGTGTGTTTAGATGTGATGGACGTGGCTTGGTCTCCTCATGACATGTGGCTCGCCTCCTGCAGCGTCGACAACACTATCGTCATCTGGAACGCACGGAAATTTCCAGGTCAGTAACTGATGGCAGGCCGGGTTCGGACGGTTTCGTGGGCCAAATTTGGCCCGCGGGCCACCCCTTTGATGATTACTGTACTGCTCCGTTGATAGGAAGCACGTCAACCATATTGGTAATTTCTTTCTTCTTTTTTTTCTACAGAAATGGTGACATGTTTGCGTGGCCACACTGGGCTGGTCAAGGGTCTGACGTGGGACCCAGTGGGTAAATACATCGCCTCCCAGGCAGACGACCACAGTCTGAAGGTGTGGAGGACGGTGGACTGGCAGATGGAGGCCAACATCACTAAACCCTTCACTGAGGTACCAACTGCATGTCGCATGCAGGATGTCACTTAAATTTGATTAATTATTACATTTTTGGAGACACTACAGCCCAGCAGGTGGCAGTGATGTAATTTGTTTGTCTGACAGAAGTGAGTTTGTACTAATCTGTGAATGCAGTAGACTGTGTAGCATGTGTTTCTATTGACATTGACCAACTTGAATTGGACTAATTGATCAATTAATTAATTAATAATTAGTTGTTAATCAACATTTTTATAAAATATTTCCTGTACATGAAGTCTCTTTGTATTTTTGGTATTATCAAAATTCATGAAGTGGCTGGATTGAAACCCCAAGTGGGCCGGTTTTGGCCCACGGGCCACATGTTTGACAACCCCGACGTCCTGGTTAATTAATGAATCAATTAATCAATCCTCAAGCCTGTACGCTTCTAGTCGTGTGACGTTCCCTCTGCTCCATTTTTTTTCTTTCACCCCACAGTGTGGTGGGACGACCCACGTGCTGCGTCTGTCCTGGTCCCCGGATGGTCAGTACCTGGTGTCGGCTCACGCCATGAACAACTCCGGGCCAACCGCTCAGATCGTGGAGAGAGACGGCTGGAAAACCAACATGGACTTTGTGGGCCACCGTAAGGCTGTCACGGTCGTGGTGAGAACTTTTCTTTGACTCGTCGGCTCCGTCCGATCCTGGTCCCGATCGGTAGCTGATCAAGTCTGACCTGACCTTCCGGTTTCCTTGTAGAAATTCAACCCAAAGATCTTCAAAAAGAAGCAGAAGAACGGAAGTTCTCCCAAACCCAGTTGTCCGTACTGCTGCTGCGCCGTAGGCAGCAAAGACCGATCACTCTCAGTCTGGGTCGGTTTGTTTGACAGTGAATTCCATTTTTTTCATTTCCCAGTTAATGTTTAAATCAATAAATGTCATCATCAGACTCTCTCTCTCTCTTTGCTCACTCTCTTCTCTCTTTAGCTGACATCCCTGAAGCGCCCCCTGGTGGTTATCCATGACCTTTTTGATAAATCAATCATGGACATTTCCTGGTGAGTTGACAGCAGCAGCTGTAAATCATCGTGTAAATTTACAGGTGTCAAACTCATCTTGGTTCACGGGCCTCGTACAACCTAATTAGATGTTGAGTGGGCCGGACCAGTACAATCATAACATAATTACCTAATAATAACGATAACAATGTTTTTCCACTTTGTTTTTATTCAAAATTTCACAAAATATTTCCTGAACATAAAGTTTTGGTGTATTTTTTTATTATCAAAATTCATTAAGTGGGACGGTTTTGGTCCACAGGCCATATGTTTGACACCCGTGACGTCCTGGTTTGCATGTAAATGAATGTTTTTGTTATATCAGGTTATGATATAAATATATATGTATATACGTATGTATGTATATGTATATATATGTATGTATATATATGTATATGCATGTATATATGTACACACACACACACACATATATACAATGGGGGGAAATAAGTATTGAACGCATTAACTTTTTTGTCATTACATTTATTTCCAAAGATGCAATTCATGTGACATCTCTTCCAGACACTGGTATTAACTCAAATAATCCACACATAAAAAGAAATCACAACATTCAAATCCATAAATAGTGATTATGAGGAATTAAGTGCAATAACACAGGAAAAAAGTATTCAACACACCATGGGAAAGCTGTATAGTTTGGCAAGGAAAGGCACCATACCATCTCAAAGCTTAAAGTAATTAGTCTTTGTACTTCCTATAAGTGCAAACCAACATCAGCTGTGTTAATGCTAACTGATGGCCCTATAAATAGGTTGTTTTTTCGCCAAGTAGTCAAACAAGACACATCTCATGATGGGTAAAAGCAAGGAGCTCTCTCAAGACCTTCGCAACCTGATTGTTGCTCAGCATCACAATGGAACTGGTTACAGACTTATCTCAAAGCATCTGAGTATTCCAGTAAGCACCGTTGGGGCCATTATCCGCAAGTGGAAGAAGCATCACCTTATCATCAACAGGCCGCGCACAGGAGCTCCTCGCAAGATTTCTGATCAGGGAGTCAGAAAGATGGTCAGAAGAGTTCTCAAAGAGCCAAGGACCACCCGGAAAGCGCTCCAGAAAGACATGGAGGCAGCAGGTACAAGTGTTACAGAGAAAACGATAGGCAATGCACTCCACCGCCATGGCCTCTATGGACGCTCAGCCCGCAAGACTCCATTCCTCAAAAAAAGGCATGTTGAAGCTCGTTTAAAGTTTGCTAAACAGCATCTGGATAAGCCTGTGGAATACTGGGAGAATGTTGTCTGGTCAGACGAGACCAAAATTGAACTTTTTGGCTGTCATACTACACACCATGTTTGGAGGAGAAATGGCACTGCACATCACCCAAATAACACTATACCAACAGTGAAGTTTGGTGGTGGAAACATCATGGCATGGGGTTGTTTCTCATCTCGTGGTACTGGCAGACTTCATATAATTGAAGGAGCAATGAATGGAAACATCTATCGGCAAATTCTTGAGATGAACCTGCTGCCATCCACCAGGATGATGAAGATGAGACATGGCTGGACCTTTCAACAGGACAACGATCCGAAGCACACGGCAAAGTTGACTCTCGAATGGTTTAAAAAAAAGAAAATCAATGTGTTAGAATGGCCCAGTCAATCACCTGACTTAAATCCGATTGAACATGGACCAGTCTGACAGTCGTGTACGGTTCTACTGGTCTAGTAGTTTGACTTTAGTCCCGATCAAAGCCTGTCTTGAGTTTACTTCTCATGCACGCCAGGACTCTGACAGGTCTGGGGATGTTGGTGTGTTCAATGGACGGCACCGTGGCTTACCTGGACTTTTCCATGGACGAACTGGGGGACCCTCTCAACGAGGAGGAGAAGGTGAGACCCTCTTAACTATTGGTGTATATCGACATGTGGCGTAAACGTTAGCTAGAACGAGGTGAACGCATTCCTTTATCGCATGAACCAATGGGGTTAATGGGAAATATTCATAACACAATTTCATGATTGTAAAAAACGATTTTGTTCGTCACGTGAGATTTCACTTCCGCTCGGTGACGTGACGCTCCGGTCTAAGATTCTTCTCCTCTCCGTCCCGACTTACAGAACAGCATCCATCAAAACATCTATGGAAAGAGTCTGGCCATAACCAGCACCGAGGCCCAGCTCTCCACCACCATCATCGAGAATCCCGAGATGCTGAAATACCAGCAGGAGCGGCAGAACTCGGCCCAGGCCAACGTAGGCCCAGGGGGCGCCAAACCCGAGTCCTCTACCCCCAAACTGAATAGTGTGATGAACGGAGAGTCTTTGGAGGATATCAGGAAGGTAAGAAAAAAAACCCCAAACCTTTATCTGTTGCATTTGCTAATAGGAATTTGAGTGTCCCTCGAGGCCACGTAGTTTAACAGCAGAACAGTGTTTTTAGGTGCATGTTGCCACCTACTGTTCCAGAGTGTGTAGTTCGGTGGTATGTTTGCTAATTCTGTATGTCAGGGATTCCCAAAGTGTGGAAGTGCCACTAGGGGGTGCACAAAATACAAAATGTGATGTTGAATATGAGTGGGGACTTCTCCAAGCACTAAAGTTTTGTGATAGATCGACTGTCTCCTGTCGTTTTTGCTCTAGAACCTTCTAAAGAAACAAGTGGAAACGAGAACCGCAGACGGCAGGAGACGGATCACGCCGCTGTGCATCGCTCAACTTGACACGGGGTGAGACGAGCTGACAACCTGCCTGTGACGTTGTCAGCACTGGTCAGAAATAAAAATTAAAATGAAATAACGAAGCATCCGACTGACAAGAGGGCGACGATGCGCTCGTCTCTCCTTCTGCAGGGACTTCTCTCCTGCTCTCTTCAACAGCGTTCCCATCCTGCCCTCGGGCACCTCCATGTCCAATCAGCTTCCCCCTCAGCTCGGCTCCGACTCCAACCATGGACAGAAGCCTGGCCAAGAACCCATGCTTACCTCGCCTCCGGCTGGCAGTGCAGCCAAGGGCCTGGAGGACAACAGGGACGGGTACGACGTCCGATGCTCCTACGTTTCATTCTCGCTGACCTTATTTAAAAAAAAAGGCTAATTTTCGCTAATCGGATCTCTTCATATTCTAGCGTGAAGCCCAGTCTCCTGCTCACCTCTGCTTCCAAGATTGAGCCAATGAAAGCGCTGGACTCCAGGTTCACAGAGAGGTCAAAGGCAACGTCCGGCGTCACGGTGGCCATCTCCTCGACCACTGGACTCGTGCCGCTTGAGAGGTACTGTTGTTTTGGCAATTTTGTCGAAGCATTAACGAAGTTCCCGTGCTCGATACATTTGTGTTTGTGCTCGCGCACAAGAATGCGAGTGCACGTCGGCCTCGGTACAATCGCCAGCTGTGAGAGTATCTGGCCTGACAGGAATTCAGAAACAGGGAGTGTGTGGATACACTTTTCAAGGTCTTGTAGGAGCTTGAGAAACGATAACGAGTAGATTTCCCATCACAGGCTAACACCGGTTGTTTCAGTGTTTTTTTGTCCACTGACTACGTGAGTTTCGGTACAAGTTGAACGGTGAATAATAACACAGAATATAATTTTGTTTTCTTCTCATCTTCTCATGTGCCACCAGGCCCAAAGAGGTCGTCCTGGTGCCGAAGGACGTGAAAGCTAAAGAAGACACCAGCAGCGACAGCGAGGACAAGATGGCCTCCATCAACAAAAACTTGGCGTTTGCAAAGAGGAAACCGGAGCTGCTGATGGACGGAGGAGAGGTGGTGGAGAAGAGGAAGAAGGGAAGGCCCAGGAAAGACAAGATGGCTGCCCCCATCACCCAAACCCTCCCACAGGTAGACGGGTTATTTGAATCGACTTTGAGCGGTGCGTTTCGTTTCGAGATACCATATCGATATTCTACATTAACAATTAACAGTCAAATATTCATGTCATTGGTTCATCTAATTTTCTTATACGTCTTTTCTAGCGATCTGTACCAATTTAAGTTATTGTATCGCGATACATATCGTATCGCCAGATTCTTGCCTATATACACCCCCAGTTTCAAAGAGCTTCCCTCTCGGCCCTTTATCGTAAATTCACACCGGTGGCGGCGGATTGGTCGCTTCCTTAGGGGCTTATTTTTGTAGCCCCAGTTGCTTGTTTTTGCTTGTGTAATCTGGCAACCCTGCTAATAAGATTGAGTTTTTGTCTTCCCAGCAGATCTCTCCTCCGGTTGAACGGGAGCCGAGCAGACCCGCTCCTGCCACTCCGGCTCCTGTGGCAGTCCTCAGACTTCCGACACCAAGTACACAGAAGTCCTTCAGTCTCCAGGTACAACAGTTTCCTGCGGGAAGTTGACTCTTTGCTGCTTCCTGTGGTCAACATACAGCATTATCTATTAATACTTTTTTTTTTTTTTTTTAAATCTGCAGGGGAGCATGGAGCCGTCCGTGTTCCTAGAGGTGGAGAACGAGGTTTCAGTCGTGGCAGGTTCCAGGCTCAGTCAGCTGCGAGTCACCAGAGATGGACGAGACTGGAACACCCTGTTGCCGAGCTCGGTGGTCACTGCTGCTGGGAGCAGGTAGGGGGCGCCGCCTCGGCGCTTTCGCACGCATTTCACACCGAGGTTGACTGTGACTGTGAACGTCAACGGTTGTTGCCTTCCTACAGTGAAATCCTGGCGGTGGCTTGTAGCGACAGGATGTTGTCGGTTTTCTCCTCCTGTGGGCGGCGACTGCTTCCTGCCATTCAGCTGGGAATGCCTGTGTCAGCGCTGCACTGCACCGCCCACTTTGTCATGGCGCTGACGGCCGGAGCGACACTCTCTGTCTGGTCAGTGCTGTGAAGAGTTTGATAATGCGAATGCCACGCTCGCAAAGTGTGTTTTTGTTTGTAACAACAGGGGGAGACAGTGAGGCCGTACAACTTTGGTTCATCTACATATGAACAAACTAAACTACTAACCACTGACAAACATCTAGGTTCACTCTTGAGATGTAACCGACCCCCCCCTTTACCTCCCCCTCCTCCCAGTGGAAGTGGGTGGAGAATGCAGTATCCTGTTACAAGTTATCGCAGTGAACTCATGACCTCTTTTACCTTTTTTTCAGGGACGTCCAAAAGCAAAAGGCTCTGGTGAAGAACGAGTCTCTCTCGAGCATTTTATCTGGTGAGTCGACATTTTCATTTCAGTTTCTATAGTCGCTGTCCACGACTAAACTTTTGTCCACTTGAAGCTAGCAACAATTTTCTGGATTTTGCTTTCTGGTATTTCTCGATTCCCTCCCAATTAATCTTGACTCCTGGGTTCTTCATATCAGCCTGTAGTCTGGCTGATGCGGTCTGTGCTGAATTCTGTTAAAACCACCGTTGTCTGTGTCCTCAGGTGCTGACACCACAGTGTCTCAGTCTCTGCTAACTCAGCAGGGAGTTCCTGTCATTGGACTGTCCAATGGGAAGTCGTACTGCTTCAGCTCCTCGTTAGAGACTTGGTGGGAAACTCTGATGGGTTATTGGTGCCTTTTCATGTATATATATATGTATATGTATATATATATGTATATGTATATATATATGTGTATGTATATATATGAATGGGTGTGTGTATATATGTATATGTGTGTGTCTATACATGTGTATGTGTATGTGTGTATATACACATATACGTGTGTATATGTGTATATATGTGTGTGTATATGTATGTATTTATGTATGTGTATATATGTATATGTGTGTGTGTGTGTATAAATATAACAAAAATGACATGCCTTTACAGAAATGTGTATAATGTACATTAGAAGGTACTTTCTCAATTTGTTCAGTAGGTGGCGTAAGGCCACAGAAACCTATCTAGATTTTTTTTACACCTCAACCATGTCTAAAAAAAATATTTCTCTCTAAAAAAAAACAAACATCTGCACAACAGTTCACACTGTTCATATAAAACCACTACATGACCTATCGTTTTTTTTTTTTCTTTTTCTTTCTCCTCAGGACTCTAATCGCAGATAAAGGCGACTCTTTGGTCCAGTGTGCCGACTTCAGGAGCTGCCTGACGAACAGCGACCGGTCCGTGTCCACGGGGCCTCTGGCCGTGATGCAGGGACGTAACCTCAAGTACGACAACATTCGATCTCTTGACCTCCTTACCGTCTAATCACGTGTCGCGAAGAGCAACTGGTGCGAGGCTCTGATCCATTTACTTATTTATTTATTTATTTTCAACCCTTGTCGTCTCTGCAGTGCCGGTCGACTGGCGTCACGCCTCTCCTCCACGCCTCACCACCTGCAGCAGAGCATGACGCTTGCCTTCCTGGAGAATCAGCTGGCGTCGTCTCTGACTCTGCAGTCGGCGCAGGAGTATCGCTACTGGCTGCTCATCTACGCCCGCTTCCTGGTCAATGAAGGTGCTCATAAAAAAAAAAAAATACAGGTCATATTTGATGGACCTTAAGGACAATTTTGACATGGCAGTTTAAAAATTGTTCCACTAGGGGGAGCTCTAGAACACCTAGCGTTATGTGAACAACAAAACTAGAATACATTTAAATGTAGAAATTAAAATACTCAAATTTTTAGTAATAATTTTATCATAACTTTTGTTTTTTTAGTTTAACCTAAAGTAAGAAATGAATTATAATAAATACATTTTTACACACATTTTATAACCCAAATTAATTTTAGCCTAAAAAAACTCAAAATTAAAATTTTTATATTATTTTAGCAAAACCAAATAGAGCTGATTTTCTTTTCATATTTATAATAAAACCTAAATAAAAAAAATCACATGTTGAAGATACTTTAGTGTTTTTTTCCCTAATACGCTGAAACATCCGTCTCCCATCTCTCCTCCCTCTCTCCTTCCCTCCTCCCTCCCTTCCAGGCTCAGAGTTCCGGCTCAGAGAACTCTGTAAGGAGCTGCTCGGTCCCGTCCACAAGTCCACGTCCACGTCCTGGGAGCCCACTACCCTCGTACGTAACAACACATAAGAACTGGTGTTTTCAATTTAACCCGTCTTACCCGCTACCCGTAAAAAGACTTTTTGGGGGGGGGGTCGGGTATTTTGCGAATTGTTAACAATTAGGTTCTGTTCCTAAACTCTGCAGCCACGCTTAGTTGCCGAGCTCTGCTGTAGATTGGGGGCTGTCAAACATACGGACCAAAACCGGTCCGCTACTTGGTCCTATTCGGCCCGCTTGATAAACTTCAAAAAGTGGAAGAATGTTTGGACAAAATATATTTAATGAAATATATATATTAATGTATTTCACATATATCTGGTCTGTGTTTCAGGGTCTCCGTAAGCGGGATTTGCTGCAGGAGGTGTTACCCGTTATTGGCGAGAACCTGCGATTCCAGCGACTGTTCACGGAGTATCAGGACCAGCTGGAGCTGCTGCGCAACAAATAACACGCGCACACACACCGGCTGACCTCTGGCATCCTGACTCCTCACTGCACCAGCGTGGTTTGTTCCGCTACGGCTCGGCATCGGCTAAACTCTCTCACCCGCCATAGAAGCTTTGACAGTGGTGGACAGTGGACAGTGAGTTCACATGCAGTCGTCCAGTTTCAGGCACTGGGACGTTTGGCTGCTGACGTACACGGGGGACAGATGGGTGCTTTATCGTTTCTTTTTTACTTAATTTCGGCCGCCTACGCTGCATCTTTTTGGGGGGTTTTTTCTCAGCCTAGCCTATGCACAGCTCTTCCTCTCACCGCCAGTCGTGATGTCATCGGTTTCGTATAATGAGAGACCCGAGACGAAGACGGGCCAGTGTAAAACCAAGAGAAAGTCTAAAGAGCAATACGTATGTACCAAAGTGATGCCTTCTAGTGTGAAAGAAAAGAGACAATATACATACATAGTAGGTGACATGGTCTTTTTTTTTTCTTTCCTCTCCTCTCCCCTATGGTTGGACGCAGAAAAGTGTTCCTTATATAGAGGAAAATGATCATTTACGAGGGTCATATATCCATAGCATCATCAAACATCATCTGACCAGGCTCCGCCCACTTTGGTCTCTCAGTGTACACCTGGGTATTTGATACAATTTTATCAAACGGCAAAAAAAAAAAAAAAAAAAAAAAACCCCACAAGAACGGATGTGTTCGAACGGTTTTTATTGTCATCAAAGGACGAACTTTCTACGATTCAGGTAACATTGGATTTGCTTTTCTTTTTCCCCGTCACCTTCTTTTTCCCCTTCCTCGACCGATGTTTAAGTACCAATATTTACACGAGTCCTGTTTTTAAACTCTCTCTCTCTCTAAAAACCTGACCATATATCAGATATATCACGTTATCCGACCGTGTGCCCGTCATTTATCGTCACTGAAAGTCTGTTGTGTTTGCAATCAGCATTACGAAGTTTCAAAGATGATGTATAAACTTAAGACATTTTAACAACTGTTTCAATGATGGTGAAACTCATGAACTTGAATTAACTAGAAAAATGAGATCTGTTTTCTACAGCAGCCGTGTGTGTGTGTGTGTGTGAATGTGTGTACATAATGTGCATTTCCTCCTCAATTTCGAGGAATGGGGGGGTCCATTTTTTTCACTAATCTGTACAGTTTCTGCTTTTCTTTGGTACATGCTTCTGTTGCTCATTTTTAAATGTTGTACAGAGCAGTTTTGTTTGTTTTCTACACAGGGGTGCGGGGTAAAAAAAAAGAAGAGAAAAATGTTATCTTTGAAAGAAATGGTGAGAATCAACCAGGATATGGATCTGTTGAGTCTTAGGCAACTTCCTGTGTAATGTCACTGACTCTGTGTGTGTGTGTGTGTGTGTGTGAATAATGAGACAACCTGTTTGTTTTACATGACATGTCAGAAAACTAATGTATAAACGAAAAATGAACAGTAAACAATTTAATGCTAACGAGCTGCGCAGCTATGTGGTATTTTCAGTCTGACGTTTTAGAATTGAATTTGAGTATCTTTTTTTATAAAGTATTTACATATTAAACTGTAAGTTTGTACTTTTGATCTAGTTAAAACAAGTCAACTTTTTTTCTCCGTATTTTGTAAGAATTTTGGTCGAATGTTTAAAAAGTGATTGTACGACGCCATTGTGACGTCACTACACTAAGCGAGTGAGTTTACTTGTGATTCAGCAACATCGTATCAGTCCGCGCTGTGTAAGAGCCAAACGTCTCATAATTTTAGTAAACTAAAAAGTTTGGTTTTTTTTTTAAACATCACCCTATTAGTGAATGGAAGGTCACAGTTTGATTTTATCGATTCAAAATGTTACATAATATTTGTCTCATATTATCAACGATCTAGGATACAATATATGACGTTGTGATCCGGTCTGTTTAAGAGAGAAAACGGATAGAAACTCGCATACTTAAAAAGAAAAGCTGATTGGTTAAAATTAGCATGAATACAACCAATTAGGACGCTGTAAATTTTGCAGGCACTACACACGGCAGCTACACGAGCAAAGACGTGAACTCTTTCATGCACAATTTTGTTCCGCCCTATTTAGTGTCGGTTTATGGGATACTATACGTAATAGTGATGGGAAGACCGACTCTTTTTATTGATTCGAATCTTTGTCTCTCGAACAGTAAAATGGACGAGTCGTGAACGAATCTTGAACTAATCATTTCATTCGTTTTACAGCAGGTGGCGCTTTAGCCCTATTGTGGGCGTTGTAAAGAAGGCTGCGGTTCTCCGACACTAAATACTGAAGGCAACATGGTTTGCTTCCGCTGACAAAGTCTACAAAGTACACAAAATGCCATAAGTAATTAAAACCATGTGAAAAGCTAAGAAATAAAAACACACCACAATGTGAAGATGAATGAGAGCAAAACACAGAAAAAGATTCGTTCACAGCGAAAGATTAGTTCACAGCGAAAGATTAGTTCACAGAAAAAGATTCGTTCACAGCGAAAGATTAGTTCACAGCAAAAGATTAGTTCACAGAGAATGATTCGTTCACAACGAAAGATTCGTTCACAGCAAAAGATTAGTTCACGGCGAAAGATTAATTAACGACGAAGGATTAGTTCACGGCGAAAGATTAGTTCACAGAGAATGATTCGTTCA